TATGTACATGTGAAAGTGTATCTGTTTCTCCGTCCACGCAGGAGTTCTTCAGTGAGAGTTTGTGGGATACTCTGCCTGTGAGCTGGCAGGACGCCCTCGGTGATCTTGCACCCCCACAGATCGCTGATCTGCTGCTGGATAAAGAGATTAAAGACAGGCGGTAAATGAGTTTACTCTTATATGTTAACATCACCTTGCCTTAATTTAAGAGAAATTTGAGACATTGCTCAAAATCCACTTTCCATGAGGAGCATTTGCCTGTAGAAAAAGCTTTGAGATAGATAGGAATGCATGAAGTGATAAAATATATACTTAGAATGCAAGGAAATTTCTTTGGATGAAAGTGTCTGCAAAAACTAGTTTGGCTTTGGGACCAATATATTACATTGGACATGAAGTGGTGGTCGAACACAATACCAAAATTACGTATTGTACCAGAGTTATTTTAGTATCATTGAGATGCTTTTATGGGTTTTATTAATATTTTGAATTTTTTTTTTTCTGTTTTCATTTTAATTTAGTTTAAAGTTGTAGTAATTTTGTCTTTTTTTTTTATGTCTGTAATTTTGATATTTTTTATTTCAGTCATTTTAGTACATCAAGTAAATGTTTCCTAGACGACTGGTTTGCAATAAAATCAATTGTTGTGTATATTATTTTATTTTTGTTAATGTTTTTACTACAAGTAACAGATTTTTTTTTCATGGTTTTAGTTTAATTAAAACAACCCTATACTGTATAAAGGTAAACTCCTTGAAATGTATGTAGTGGCTTTCTTTTAAAAAGTGCAACGTATGATAGTTTTAAAAAAAACTTTTAAATTGTAAACATATCAATGGAAGTAATTTGAAAGGTGTTGTATTTATTCTGTCTTTTAGGTACCCTTCTGTGTGGCCTCTCTCCTTACTGGCACTGCGGACAGCAGCACATGCGCTTTCGTCTCCACGTAAAGCACCAGGTGGGCACAGTCAGGACACAGGTGCAGCAGCAGAGGAGTTTCAGTTGAACCAGAGTCAGAGTTCTTTGTTAGGACACATTTTCCGTAAACACGTCAAGCCCAAGAAGCAGCACGAAATCCGCCAACTAGGCACGGTATGGGTACATTATACTGCATGTAATGTCATTGTGGAAAAATTCTGAATGCCATTATTAAAGAAATGACTCCATTAAGATTATTTGATAATCTAAAGATTCTTCAAAAATGTTTCTTCTGCTGAACCGTCTCTAGCTGATCAAGAAGTTGTGTGATCAGGCAACTGTAAGTGTGTGGTTGATGTTAGGTCTGAGCAGGTACAGTAATGTCTTGCTTAATTTTCTTATTGTAAATATCTCAATCTTTATATTATAAATATGCAAATTACTCACTTTAATTTGATCCATCCCTCCAGGGCCATTTGACACGGTTTCTGTCTTTTGGACTCTGCCTGGATGTCACAGGAATTGACCCTAACCTTGTTCCCATGGCTACTAAATTTGATACTTCTATTGACACTCGCCAAAGAGAATCAGAAGGTATGACCCTCATAAATTATTCTATGAAATAATCTATTAATATTATCCTTTTGATAATTTGATATTACATAATGATTGATACATTTTTTAAGCTTGCATTATTACCATGTCTTTGAAGTCATTTTTTATTTTGGATTACTATATATATATATATATATATATATATATATATATATATATATATATATATATATATATATATATATTAGAAATAAATAATAGCTGCAATATAACAAAGAGTGAAAAATTTAAGGGGGTCTGAATACTTTCCGTACCCACTGTATATATGTGTGTGTGTGTGTGTGTGTGTGTGTGTGTGTGTGTAAACCACAGGTTTTTTTGGATGTGCTGTGAAAATTCTCATCAGTGTTTCTGTTGTAGTCAGGAAACGCTCAAAGTCTTCATTCTCCTCGTCATGTGGTGGGCTGGGTCAACCCAAAGGCTTCATGGGATGTCTTCATTCAGCAGCTTGGTGTGATAGCAACTGAAAGTGACAGTATTGGAGTAACCACTGGGTCAATTGAAAAGAAACAGCAGGTGGAGGAGCTGCATCTAGAGCCGCATTCATGCCAAACCAAAGCAGAGGAGTTACAAAATGCACTGCCGACTCAAAAACTGCTATTAATACTTTAGACTCTGTAGCACAAATAAACAGTTGGGTTTTCCCATCAGGGACGACAACCGAAATGCTTACCTGTAAAACTGTACCAGTTAATGATTGTGGTGCCAAACAACCTGGTAGTTTTGTCCTTACAGGTCTTCATGCTTCTGGAGATCTTAGCTCTACACTTCTGCGTCATTTCGCTAACTGCCCTCACATTCAGGTCATCACATCTGTCGCTTGCTGCTACATGAAAATCTCAACCAAGGAGAACCCAAACCCTCCAGGGCTTTTCCAGCCCCCATTTTCTTCAGACACAGTGGCAGATTCCTGTTCAGAATATGATTATCCTATGAGTGACTGGGTACATGGATTACCAGGGTACCAGCTGTCGTATAAGACATGAGAGGGTGCATGTCATGCAATAGAGGACTATCTCCATCATCTGAGAGAGGAGAGCGGCTTACTGCGAACACACTGCTACAGAGCCATCTTAGAAAGCATCATCAGAACAGAGAGGCCTCATATGCGCAGACCGGGAGTTCAGACTATTAGGAAAGCCCAGTCATTTTCAGAGTTAGTGTCTTTATTGCGACATTTGTGAATAATAATATCTTTAAAGGACTGGCATATCTGTGACTCACTGATGAGCTTCAGTTCCTAGAACATAAAAACTAGTTCTATAGAGCAGTGGTTCCCAACCCTGGTCCTGGAGGCACCCCAACACTGCATGTTTTGCATGTCTCCTTAATCAAACACACCTGATTCAGATCATCAGCTCATTAGTAGAGACTCCCAAGACCTGAAATTGGTGTGTCAGAGAAAGGAGACATGCAAAATGTGCAGTGTTGGGGTGCCTCCAGGACCAGGGTTGGGAACCACTGCTACAGAGTTAAATTAAATAATATAAATCTCAATGACACATGTTAAACTCTCTTATTTTAAGTTCATCTGAGATACTAGACTTCTGCATTATAACATTATCTTTTGTTTTATCACAGGTATGCTTGTTTGGCATGGCCACGGGTGGGCCTACCCACTGATCTCCCATTTGACCCTGTCAGTGTGGATGCAATGCTAGCTCACCAGGGTAAAGTGGTGGCGTACTTCAGTCTGGTTCTTCTCCTTGCACCTGTGGTGGAAACTGTAGTGTTACTCGACAGAATGATTTTCCTGCAGGAGAGAGAGGTACATAGAACAGAGCCAGTCACTCGAGAGGGAATTAAAATTACCAAATTAGCTTATTTTGACACAACTGTATTTTTCTGACATGCTTGGTTATGTAATTCTGTAATATGTAATATTATTATCTTTACATTGTTTAACAGAGATACAAGTATCCCATAGTTTCAGAAGTTTCAATAACTTAATGATTAATATTTAAAATTTATTTACATGCTGTTTCTACTCATTTGTGATTACAGGGATTTTTTTTAATTAAAAAATATCAGTATCTACCAAATAAAATATTTTAGATCTTGACATAACTCATCAAAGTTTCAATGTCTTTTTTCTATGATCACTTTTCCAGGTGTAGAAATAAGTCTTTCAAAATTCTCTTATTGTATAATTATAATTCATCTTTGTATTTTCATATTTAGGTTTCCAGAGTAAACTCATCCCACTTTTTGATGCTGCTTTTTCCCCACGAAACCTGGTACTGGTGGCCGTCGAGCCCAAATAAGCACAGAGCTGAATGAAATAACATGCAACAAGATGTTGGAATCCAAGTTCTGAATCACAACCACATAATTAGATTAACAGTAACATATTATGAATGAAATGCCTTTAAATGAACCGCTACACAGACCATCAGACATTTGGGAACTGAAATTAGAGGTCTGATATTTCATTTTCCAGAGGGACTCATTAATGGCTCATTGTCAGTCACTTTTTGTCTGAATTGGAGAGAGGGAAACACTTCTTCCAAATTCTAAACTTTTAATATTTTTAACCTTAATAAAAAGACATGACAGTCAAACAGTTTTTTTTCATAGTTGTCAGACTGGATTTATTGCATAAAATTCTCTAATTGTTTTTAAGGCACAGGATTTATATAACAGTGGGCAAAGGTGCTATCGTCTATGGTTCACCTCTATTACAAAAAACATACATTCAGACACAGAATCTACTGTATGATCGCAGGTGCATGAACGCTATATCTGTAAATAAAAAGTTTAATGTAAAGGCCATGTCTTTTTAACCTATAGATGGCACTCTTGACAAAATCAGGTCAAACCTTCAGAAGACCGTTTTTGAAAGCCCCATGATATTTCTAGTAAGATGCTAATTCTCAAACTTTATATAAACTAGAAGGGGTGATGTATTGATTAAATTGATTCAATAAAACGATTTAAATAACTTTAATAACTATTTTTATTACATAATTACATTGACATTAATAACTGAAATGTTCTTCAGGATTTACATCAATTAATTTACATGACTTTTCTAGTCATTTGTGATTACTAGGGTTTAAAATTACATGCTTTAATACTACCATACTTTTTTTTACCAAATAAAATATTTTAGAGCTTAAGCTTATATTCATTAACATTTCCAAGATCTTTTAGGATTTTTTTCCAGGTCTGGAAATCACGCTTTCAAAATTCCCTCATAATATTTAGGTTTTCCCCAATACAGTGGGAATCCTACTGGTTCTTAAATAAGAATAAACGGTCAAGAGAACTACACAATAAATATAATGTCAGTTTAAATCTTGATAATGCGTTTTAACTCCTTTTAATGCTGGTTTTGTCTTATTGTAAATCATTAAGTAATCTTGCAGCCTTCAAGAACCACTGGCTCTAATTAAAAACATTGCATCTTGTGCACACTTGACAGTTCACTTCCAAAACTTTTCCATACACACACACACATACTAGTCTGCATGTCACTAGAGTCTTTATTTCTAATAAATGACATTTACAAAATGTTCTCACACAGCTGAAGAGAGACATGGAAGACATTTAATTCTTCATGCTCTGTACAAAGAATTCATTACACGCCACTGTGAGAGCAGCCACCAGCACAACAAACTCCTGGAAGTCCACCTCTCCATCCTGGTTCTCATCCAAATCAGACATGATCTTCTCCACAACCATGGGGTCTTTACTCGCCTACAACAGGACACACAGTTATTTTTCTATTATGCATGGGAGCCATCAATGTTAACTTAATATGGCTAAAACGTACAGCTAAAAAGTCACTGAGTTCTCCCTGAAGTAAGCTCTTGAGCTCGGCTTTGCTTAGCTTGTACTTGTCGCCTTCTTTGGAAGAGTATGTGTGGAACACTTTAATCAGGCCTTCCATTGCGTCTTCCAGTTTAGAAACCATGTTGTTGCTCTCCTCTTTAGAAAATATATTCTGGAAAAAATATATATATTTGCAATCTCATAAGTCTAACACTCCAAGTCCAACAGTCTACATCTGAACACCTGAGAATCTATGCAGGGTTTTTAGTGGACTATATGCTCATATTAATTTAAATTAATTGTCTGTATTCAATAATTGCATGAAAATGTACTCATAATTACGGTTTTGTGAAAATCCTGAGCCCTTTTCGATTCTTAAAAGCATGTACTGTTTGCACAGACACCTGCTGACCCCAGGGGCCCTGCCATCCCTCTAGGTTACACAGCCACTGAGGAATCTAATATGAGGGAGCAAGCTGATGACAATCATGAGGGAGATGGAAGACAGGTATACATCAATTATTCAATTGGTCTTTTGTATGAACTAAAGGCTCTGAGACCGTTTATCCACCATTAAGACAGGTAGGCCTTAGCCTATTTAATATTAGATAGCTATTAAATCTAAAGTCTCATAGAGAATCGGTCAATATTGCAGACATTATCACTGAATGAGACATTAATATCAAAACATTTAGACTGTAAAACAATCCACTAATGAGCCAATGAACGACAACTTTCCTTCAGCGCTATTAAAGTTGGTAGAAGAATAACTCATATTGGTCACAATATGCGAGTAGCCTATGTAGTGCTTATTAAGATGCCAACACTGCCTCATTCGTATTACACGGAGAGTTATCTATATTCTAAGTAATAATTCTTAAATAAAAGACTCTCGTTATATTACCCTTTGACGTCAATAATGATCTTTAAGTGGCATTTATTCTTAAACCATTGTCAACTTTACGTTAGCAATTAATGGCGTATATACCATATTTTCAGACAGTTCTTGTAATCAGCATAACATTAGTAAGTCAAAAACAAACAACATTATCAACTTACCTAGACAAAGAAGTGGCAACTAGCGCTGGAAGTTCTCATTCATTAAATAGCGTCCACTCACCTGTGCGGGGGAAATGGCCAAGTAGGCGGAGCCATAGATATGTATAGGTAGATGCCTCATTCTACAGCTCCAAGCACGTAGACTTGTCCGCAATCTCGCAATTTGACGTCATTCACCATAATAATCAATGAATATTCGAAGATGCCACAATCCTGCACAGTCGTGTAAAAACCGCCGGGATTTAAATTCTCGAAGAAACAGGATAACTTTTAACAGGTGAGAATGCGAGAGAGGAGCGGAACCATAGACGTTAGGATTGTGGCATGTTCGAAGATCCATTGATTATTATGGTGAATGGCGTCTGGTTAAAACAGTGCTAATGAGGCATCTACATTTACATATCTATTCAAGGGTTTCATGTGACGTCACACAGTGGTGCGGCCGCCATTTGTAGGACCGAATTGCAATTCCGTCAGTCTGCTGTGCTGTGCTGTGCTGTGCTCTGGGCTGTGACAACAGCAAATCACGATGGATTATTTACTGGATTATTGGATGTATGGGATTCTTTTGATTAAAAATTTCTCGTTTACATTTTAGTTAGCAAGTTCATAATGAAGCTTGCAAAAGGTTAAATTCGCGTGCGTGACTGCTGATTTGCCAGAAAACTTTCGTTATGCTCCACCTAAAGCTAATAAATCAACGAGATGTTTTTGATCTTTGATCTAAGTACAGTTATGTGAGTCTAGAACAGGGATCCACTTTCCTGCAGAGTTTAGCTCTAACCCTAATCAAACACACCTGAGCATGCTGATCAGTGTCTTCAGGATCATTAGAAAATCACAGCTAGCTGAGTTTGATCAGGGTTGGAGCTAAACTCTGCAGCACGTTGGACCTCCAGGGTAAGATTTGAGGAACCCTGTTCTAGAATGTTTACGCTGCACTAAACTTTGACGAACAACACTCCGATCCGCGAACAAACAGATGAAGAAGAGGAGGAGGATGACGGTCCAGCGCATACAAGGAAAAAGGTTTGTAGTTTTAGTTTCCACATTCTTATTTTTATGAATGTAATTACTTCAAAGATGTTAGAGTGAAGAGGACCTGTTTGTACTATTACTATTATAATTCTGTAGAAGAACGTTATTTTCAAATAATCTCATTTAACTAAATAAGCTAGTTGCAGTGATTCTACGATGGCAATGTACTGCTGCAATCAAATGTATATGCATCAATATGTCTGAGATCATATGCAGTAGCTGTGCCCTGCTTTTACAGTTACTAAATGGAAGCAGACTTACATGTTCAGGTGCTCACCACTGCCAAAACACATGTAACTGACTACAACAAAACACAGAATCACAGTTTTGTTGCTACTTTAGTTGCTGCTTCACTTAGCATGTAGAAACATACAGGAATAACTGAATATTTCTCTTAAATGAGCCACAAATGTCTTTTAGCAATGTTTTTTAGTAACCAAGAGAAGTGTCATCGCAGAAGAAATGGCAGTAGTTCCTCAGACAGCTGTGAACAGCGAGCAGTGCTTGGAGTCAGACAGTAGACTTCATCTTTATTATACTTCTCTGGCTGGACTAGCAAGGAGCAGTTAGTCCATGAGAAAGTAAGTTCAAGTACATGTCTGCACTGACCATAATTATACTATGTAATATAATGTTTTCTGCAATAATTGGGGGAATCTTAACTAAGGAGACAAACTGACCAGCAGGAAGCTATGGATCTATTGAATGTGTATTTTTCAAGCATTTTATTGTGGCATTCACTGTTATTTTTCTGCACAGTGATAACTAGTGAAAAGTGTTTCTACTAATTTACTTAAAAGTATAGTTAACCCAGAATTCTGTCATCATTTACATTATTACATCAATTCCCCCTCAATTTTTTTTTCAAACCCCTGACTTTTGTTTTTCTGCAGAACTCAAAGGAAGATACTTTGAAGAATGCTGGTAATCAAAACCAACAGGTTTGTCACGTGTAGACGACAAAGGAAGTAAATGATTTTCATTTTTGGGTAAACTATCTCTTTAATTAGGATGATACACACTTTACATTTCAATCATACTGGACACAGCCACTTAATGTGCTAGAATTAAATGGGAAAATAATAAGTAAATAGTCTTTCAAACAACATGTGCTTTGATACAATATATATACATTTACTTTCAGTTTGGTGCATTCAGATGGACATTTAGTAATAGATACTTGTGCATTATTTACTCTTTACAGGTGCAGAAATGAAAGCTCCCAAGCAAAGAACTCACTGGACTAAGATGAGGAAAGACATGCTGCACAATGACCCACAATGAGCAACAACCAAGAACAGTATTCACTGATTACCTTTAAAAATTATTCATAGTAACAGTTAGGTAATAATTATTTTACCAAGTACAAAATGTTTAATTCAAAAACTTTGCCATTTACCAATGTGTTTCTCAAAACACCTTTTAAATTGATGTTTTAACCTTTATTAAATGTTACAGTCCAAGTGTACATATAAATGCCTCATTCATTCAAGTAAATGCATGGGTAATTTTGCAAAATGTGTTAAATATTTTATCTACACTTATTGTATAACTGCTGCTTTTTTGCTGTAATTGCATGGTTTTGTAAATAAATTGTTTTGTAAATACATTTTCCTCATGCCAGCTTGGTCAAGCTAGTTATTTAATGGACTTTAAAATTGCTTTCATAATAATGAGATGTTTATAGATTTGTTAAGTCATGTTATTTATGTATTATAATCTATATAATTAAAATGAAAGTAAACGTTTTGTTTAGGTAACGTTATTAATTTTAAATGAAATATTAATGTACAGTAGATATAGAAATGCAACTGTGCTAAGTCTGGTGTGCTGCGCAACAGGCCGAGTCCGGCTTAGATGCCTCAGTGTCGGCAAGTTACGGCTGTCGCATCTGGTCCGGTTGATTCGGCCCAGAATCTGAAAGTGAGTACGCAAGCATCCAGGCCGGGTGCTGCAGATGGATCCACAAGTGATTATGACACAGCCGTGGAACTACATACCGCACACTTTGCAGCCCCACAGAGTGCTCTCTTGCAACGTTTTCTGTTCCGCTAAAGACACCAGAGAACTGCCCAGCCCATGGCCAAACATGCCGCAACTGTGGTAAACGCAATAATTTTGCTTCAGTCTGCTGCTCCGCTCCAGCTGTGTAAGCCCAAACACCCACTATCATTGACGATGTCTACTCTGGACCAGTCTCGTTTAAAGCATGTTCAGTGCACCTAAATGATGTGTGTATCCCACTGCTTTTCGACACTGGTGCCAGTGTGTCTCCTGAATATGCACACATACAGCACTTTTTTCGGAGCACTGCCACTTTTGGCACCCTCTGCTTCACTCTGTGGCTATGGCGACTCAAAGATTGACTTCCTTGCAAGTGACCGTTGGGTATGGCAACAAGATGGTGCCCAGCTTTACCATCCATGTTGCCCGTCGCGGGGCCAACTTGATGGGTCTGGATTTGTTCTCGGCTCTGGGATTTTCTCTAGTTGACACGAAGCCTTGCAGCAAAAGTGGCCATCCCTGTTTGAAGGCTTGGGCTGCCTTACTGCTTTTACCCATCAACCTCTCCTGAACCCTGCCATTAAACCAGTCATCCAACCACTCCAACGCATTCCCTTGGCTCTCTGTGATGGTTTCTTGGCTGAGCTTAAGCAGCTGCTGGATGTTGGCATTATTGAAGCAGTGGATGCGTCGCCCTGGGTCTCAAACCTGGTGGTAGCTCAGAAGAAATCAGGGGCCCTACGGGTGTGTGTCAGCCTGCGAGAGGAGAATAAGGCAGTGATCCCAGACAGGTTCCCTCTGCCTACCTCAGAAGAGCTCATGGCTTAGTTCCATGGTTCTCTAAACTGGATCTCAGACAGGGCTACCTACAAGTGCCTCTCCACCCTTACAGCAGAAACTTACACGCGTATGCCGTTCGGACTCAGCTCCGCCCCCAGCTGTTTCCAAAAAATCATGGTGTCGGTGTTAGCTGGTATACCGGGGATGGCCATTTACCTGGATGATGTGGTTACACCGCTGGTTCGATCGTCTTCGCCAGTATAACTTTGACCTGAAGTTCAACCCGGGCAGAGACAATGTTGTGGCCGATCTACTGTCCCGCTCTGCTCCACCACACCCCACCACACACACATACATCGACACGGACCAGGTGGAACGGGACATTGTCCAGATGTTACACACAACCCTCCAGGCCGTCGTATCGTTACAAGAACTGAAGGAGGCATCGGACCAGGACCCGGTCCTTTCTCAGCTCTGAGTCTATATTCTGAATGGCTGGCCTCAGGAGGTACCAGAGGGGCTGGCAGCATTTTCCAGAATAAACCGACACCTGTGTGGCACGCAGCCTCTGCACAGTCATCCCCAGCACCCTATGTGCACGTGTCTTTGCAATGGCTCACGAGGGCCACCTGGGTATTGTGAAGTTGAAGCAGCACTGCAGAGACTGGGTTTGGTGGCCAGGGATAGATAAAGAAATCGAGGCCCTGGTGAAAGACTGTGCTGCCCGTCTCTTGAGTGGTAAGACTGGTCACCAGGCCCCCCCACCCTTACAACCTCTTGCTTGGCCATCACAGTCCTTGGACCACCTGTAGCTGGACATATGTGGTGAGACACGGAGTTCCTCATCACCAACGCTTCCTAGTGGTTGTCTATGACCTGCATTTGAAATGGCCTGAGCTCATTGCCACCAGCTCTAGCTCAGGTCATAAATAACATCCTGGACTCTCTGTTTTCCTGCTGGGGCCTTCCAAATACTCTCAGAGCGCACTTGTTCCAGGGATGGACCTTCTCACGGGTCATCCATCACACACTGCTGCACTATAGGGCCACCCTACACTCTACGACGGGGGTCTCTCCAGCTTTCCTCATGCTTGACTGTGAGCTCCACTTTCCCCTCAACAGGCTCAGCCCCGCACTACCTCAGGAACCACTACCGAGAGTCAGGGCCTCTGTCACCCGCCAGCAGAGGAGGATGAAACAGAAATTCGATTTCTCAGCATGCGTTAAGGTCCCTGACATTAAGGCCGCAGATTGGGTCAGGGTTCGCAGACCCCACAGAGACAACAAACTTGCTTCATATTGGTCTGCCCCTCTCCAAGTTACTCATCAGCTGGGCCCAGCCACCTTCTTGCTCAGCGACAGCACACAGTGGCATGCAAGCCGCCTCCGCAAAGTGCCACCCCCGGCACATGCAACAGGCATCACACCTCAAGCCATACCCCAAGCTTGGCAGGACACCCCAGAGCTTCAGCTGACACCTCAGATAGCTCCTGCACAGGCTCCAGACATGCCTATCAAC